ATGCATATCTTTAACCGAACTACCATATAGAATAGATTACAATTATGAATTGGTATACATTATAAAGATTAATAAAACAATTAATTTAAAACAAGTATATAAAAAATTTTGAGTATATATTAAAGAAATATTAATATTAATTATAATTTTAAAATCAAATAATAATATGAATAATTATCAGAACACCAATAATAATATAAAACTATATATTATAGCAACAATAAATAAATAATAAATAAATAATAATATAAAATTTATAAAAAATAAAAAATATAAAATGAAATATAAAAGGGATTTATTAATGTTTAAATTTATAAAGAAACATACTGGTAATAATAATAAAAAAAACAAAAGTAAAAATTAGATTTGTTTTGGGTGTTTTGTATTGGATTGGTTGAATTGCCTTTTTTTTATTGTCACAGTAAAAGGTATTGTAATAAATTATTTTATTAATTAATAATAGAGAACAATACTAAAATAATGTTATAATATAAACAATCATAGTTATAATATAAAAAATAATAATAATAGAACAAATTGATTATTTTTAAAATAAAAACGATAAATAATAAATAACGATAAATTTATAATAAAATAAATAAAATCTATAAAAAAAGTAGTTGTAGTTAAAAAGAAATTTAAAATTAGTTTTTGATATTGGTATAATATTTTTAGTTGGATTATTTAGCTATCTAAAATAAAAAAAACATATATTTGGCAATTTTTAAAACATTCAGTAATATAATTAAATAAATAAGACAGATTGAAAGGAATAATAAAAAAAAAAGGATAAAAGTAAAAATGATGACTTGTTTATGTTAGTATTCGATTACGTTGGAATTGATTGGAATGAATTTAATTGGAATCGATTGTATTGCATTAGATTATGTTGGTTTGGTTCGGAATTTTTTTGTCAGAAAAATTAAAAGGTATTGGAATATATTATCTATTTATTCATAATAGTAATAGAAATAATTGTAATAATAGAAGAATAGCAACAAATAATGTTATAATAAAAGTAATCATAATAAATAATCATAATAAATAGTAATAATAATAACTACATTACATTTAGGTTTTAGAGTATATAGAATAGTTACTCAAAATTAATTAAATTAATCAAAAATTAAAATTATATAAAAAAAAAATTTTAAATAAAAATAGTTTATTATACTATAAATTTATTAAATAAACATTTAAGAAAATAAAAAATGTAATTTTTTCTTTTTTTATTTTTTTTTAGTTTTTTAGTTTATTTTTTTATTTTTTAATATTAAATTATAAATAATAAATAATAATAAAACATTAAAAAAAACAAATTAAACATAAACATTATGTATCATCATCAATATGTATACATAAAAGAGGCCAACGTAATTCTTAACAATTTTAAACTCTTTTTGCTTTGTATTAAATATTTAGATCAGGTATAGCAAAAAACAGCTCTTTTTCAAGTTATATATAAACAAAACCAATAATAATATTTTTGTAGGTCTATTAGATAGGTTTTTGATGAATATATTCCACCACAACAAAGATATAATAAAAATTAATAAATAGAAATAGGAAAAAGTATAATCAATAATTTCTTTGATTTTAGGATAGTTAATAAAAATAGCAACTAAAATAAGCTATAAAATGTGGAAGTGTGCCATATTAAAAGATTGATAATGGTACAAATAAAACATTAGTTCATTATACGAATGCTGCCTACAAAATCAATAAAATACCCCGCAATTATACAATCATCCAATCTTAGCTAAAATAAAATAAAATAAAATAAAATAAAATAAAATAAAAAGAAATAAATAAAAAATAGATGAAATAAAATAAATTAAATAAAAAATAAAATATAATAAAATTAAACTAAATTAAAATTAAATATACATTTTTTTCAGACCCAATCAAACACTATTTAAAAAATTAATTTTAGTTACAGTATTTTCCATATTGTTTTGGCTGGGTCTCCAAAAAATGACTCATTATCTTCTTATTAATATAACATTATTTTATTTTTAGATGGTTGGATTTCGTTAAATAAGATATTTTTTGACCGGGGTTTGAAATGGAGTCATGTTCTAAAGGATAGACCACATCGCCCATATGAATTGAGGTTATTGAGTCAGGGATAATACCTTTTGTAAAACGTTGAGAGTAACCATGATTAAACATAAGATTGGTTAAATGATTTGGAATTGAACCAGGTATTAATTGATACTTGATTTTATATAAATACAACCATTTTACAGTGGGTGGTATAAAGTCAAGTGGTTGATCAAAGCCATCAAGTAAAAATAAATGTGTAACTGTTGCTGGAATTGAATTAGGTGATAATTGATACTTGATGTTTTTTAAATACAAGTATTTTACGGTGGGTGGTATAAAATTAAGTGGTTGATCAAAACCATCTTGTAAATATAAATGTGTAACTGTTGCTGGAATTGAGTCAGGTGTTAATTGATACTTGATGTTTTGTAAATGCAAGTATTTTATGGTGTGTGGTATAAAATTGGGTGATTGATTAAAGCCATTTTGTAAATATAAATCTATAACTGTTGCTGGAATTGAGTTAGATGTTAATTGATACTTGATGTTATTTAAATACAAGTATTTTACGGTGGGTGGTATAAAACTAAGTGGTTGATTAAAACCATCTTCTAATATTAAGTTTGTAACTGTTGCTGGAATTGAATTAGGTGTTAATTGATACTTGATGTTTTGTAAATACAAGTATTTTATGGTGTGTGGTATAAAATTAAGTGATTGATCAAATCCATCGAGTAAATTTAAATAGGTAACTGTTGCTGGAATTGAATCAGGTGTTAATTGATACTTTATGTTTTGTAAATACAAGTATTGTACTGTGGTTGGTATAAAATTAAGTGGTTGATTAAATCCATCAAGTAAATATAAATCTATAATTGTTGCTGGAATTGAATCGGGTGTTAATTGATACTTGATATTTTTTAAATACAAGTATTTTACGGTGGGTGGTATAAAATTAAGTGGTTGATTAAAGTCATCAAGTAAATATAAATAGGTAACTGTTGCTGGAATTGAATCAGGTGTTAATTGATACTTGATGCTATCTAAATACAAGCTTTTTACGGTGGGTGGTATAAAATTAAGTGGTTGATTAAAGCCATTTTCCAAATGTAAATATATAACTGTTGCTGGAATTGAATCAGGTGTTAATTGATACTTGATGTTTTGTAAATACAAGTGTTTTACGGTGGGTGGTATAAAGTCAAGTGGTTGATCAAAGTCATCAAGTAAAAATAAATATGTAACTATTGCTGGAATTGAATCAGGTGTTAATTGATACTTGATGTTTTCTAAATACAAGTTTTTTACGGTGGGTGGTATAAAATTAAGTGGTTGATTAAAGCCTTTTTCTAAATATAAATGTGTAACTGTTGCTGGAATTGAATTAGGTGATAATTGATACTTGATGTTTTTTAAATACAAGCATTCTACGGTGGGTGGTATAAAATTAAGTGGTTGATTAAAGCCATTAAGTAAATATAAATCTGTAACTGTTGCTGGAATTGAATCAGGTGTTAATTGATACTTGATGTTATCTAAAAACAAGTATTTTACGGTGGGTGGTATAAAATTAAGTGGTTGATCAAAGCCATCTCGTAAATATAAATCTGTAACTGTTGCTGGAATTGAATCAGGTGTTAATTGATACTTGATGTTTTTTAAATACAAGCATTCTACGGTGGGTGGTATAAAATTAAGTGGTTGATTAAAGCCATCTCGTAAATATAAATCTGTAACTGTTGCTGGAATAGTTTTGGGTAAACATCCGATAGGTCCAATAGCAAGATTACGAATTTCTAAATGACTAATATCACACCCTTCTTCGTAAATTGTAAATTCCAAATTATAAACTTTATTAAAAAGAATTAATTTAAGTTTTATTAGTTTAAAATAAAAAATTTAAAACTTACATTTTAGTGTTTTTAAATCTAAAGGAGTATCAAGTACTTCTATATAACTGTTTGTTAGATCTTTAATTGAGTAGAGATTATCTTGTTTAGTTATTAGTTTAGTATCGTTATATTCTGGTAAGTTATTATTATTTATATTTGATAAAAGACTGTTACATTGATGATTGTGTTTTAAAAGTTCAATAAATTCATTATTGATATTATTATTATTAACATCATTATTATAATTATTATTAACATCATTATTATATTTAATAGCATTATTTATAATATTATTATTGTTTTCAATTGTTGTTTTTATTATATTATTTATTTCTGTATTTTGGTTTAGTTTGGTCATTAATAATAATTTGATATCATTTTCTTTTGCACCGATAATATATTTCAATTCCTTAAATATATTAAAAGCTTTATCAAAATTCTTTGTATGGTAATCTTGAATTTCTTTAAAGTGGTTGTTTGATTCATCCAATATTTTTTTATTATTTTCTAAATAGTTGTTTAGTTTTGGAATTGTTTGATTTTTAAAATCATGTTGTATTTGATTTCTAAAACTTATATCATTTAGTTTTTTTAAACTATGGCCATTATGATCCTCGGTAATACAATCAATACAGACAGGAATATTGTTTGGACAATTTGAGCATATTGAAATAATATCTTGATATGGATGATTTAGGCATTTGGTATCATATTGTTGATTATTTGACATAATTTATTTTTAGGATTTAAAATAAGTTTTTAAGAATAATTATTAAAAATAGTTTTAAAATAAAATAATTTTTTTTTATAAATTATAAATTTATATAATAAATTGTATTTTATTATATATTTTTAAGGATTTTATAAATTATAATTTGAATTATGGTGTGGATAAAAAAATTAAAATCTTTAAAAAAAAATAAAAAAAATTTAAAAATTTATTTTTTAATTTTTTTCACAAATTTTTTGATTTTATTTTTTATTACAAAAAAATGAGATATTTCGAAAAAATTTTGACCCTTTTAAAAAATATATAGTTACTAATAGTAACTTAGAATGTCAAAAATGACTTTTTAAACCCTGAGCCTTTTAGAGATGGATGTTGTGATGAATGCAGTCAAAATTTATTAAAAGTTTTATGTAATTCAATAAAGATTGGATACATTACATAATACATTAATTATATTCCCAAAGATGCCAAAGAATTGTCATCAAAAGATGAGGATAAAGAAGAAAAAAAAAAAAAAATTTTAATTTTCTCTAAATTTAAAAAGTCTTTAATTAAAATTTTTTTATAGTTTATTTTCTTCTGACTTTTTATTTGTGGTGTAGAATTCTAATACTCTACATTCTTTATATTTTTTCATCAAATCTGAAAAATCTTTTCTTTTTTTAAGATTATTTTCTAATTTTAAATAAATATCATTTCTTCTCCTTTGTTTCATTACATTTTAATTATTTGAAAATAAAAAATAGATAATTTACATAATAATAATTTATAGCTTTGACCATACTAAATCAAAACAATATATATTAAAATTAATTTAAAAAAAACACCAACAATCATTATAACAAAAGCATCAATAATTAAAACAGGAATCGAAATAATAAATTCAAATAAAATTGTATAAAGTAATAAATTTGTAAATTCTTTTTTTTTTATTTTAATTGATTGTTTATTCTTTATTATAATGTACTTGATGGTAGTTTATATGGTAAATTTTCGTAAAAACCACCTTGATTTGGTTGTTTAACAGTATTGTATGTGTAATAATCTTCGTCTACTATTATATATATATAAATAATATTAAAAGATAAGACATATAAAGTATAAAACCTTCATACCTAAACTGTTTGCAAAATAAATTAAAGACTCTTTTGAAATGTAAATTAAAAACCTTTATACAAATATTAACTGTGTGATTAACACCCTTTATTTATATTGTTTTGTAATTAAAATTAAATTATTAAAATAAAATTAAAAATTAAAAATTAAAAAATTAATTAATTAATAACATTGTATAAATTATATTATTAATAACATGTTAGAATCCGAGATATCTAACAGTATGCATTAATGGTGATAAAGAATTGAGTATGAATTATGTAAAGTTTTACACCATCTCTTTCATAATATTCCCATGGATAACCTCCTAATTCAAGATTAATTAATTTAATGTATAATGTATCACCATCAAAATAATATTTTGTACCATTACCTACTCTAACATCTGCTGCACTATTTGCTAATGAAAAGGTATGATTATAATTAATACCATTATTCCATCCATAATAACATTTAATTTCAAATGTTGTTAAAGTTGGATTGAAAGGAATATATGTTGACCAAATACAACTTGACCTAACCAAATTTTCATATTTTTGGACTACCTGCTTTTAAATAAAGGTACCAACCCATATTACTAACACCTGTAACACCTGGATTACTATTTTTTTAAATAATAATAGCAATTATTAGGCAAATTAATAAATAAACAATTACCGAGTAACAATATAATTATTTTAAAAAAAAAGTAATAAACATACCGAGTAACAACTGTACTTCTATTATCATTAACACCACTTCCAAATAATGCAATACTACCAACATTTAATTTATCAAAATCATCATAAACTAAAACACCTTCATCAATTAAACCTGGAACATAAAATTGAATATTTGCAATTTCTTTATCACCTTTTTCACAAACAAAACAAGTCCAATCCTGATTATATTCACAAGTATTATCAAATTTCCACCATAATTCAATGGAACCAACTAAAGCAGGTTGACCTGGTTTCTTTCCAGTTATAGATGAATCCCAATCAATAAAATTAAAATATCTACTACCTGAAGTATTTAAAACATTATGACCAATATATTGAGATTTTGCAACATTTGTTCCTCATAATAATTGAATCATTTTATACTTTTAATTACATATATGTCATGATTTACAACTATTTTACCAATATGTTTTCGTTGATTAAAATATTTGGTTTAATCTTTAAAATAGATCATTTTACAAGATGTACAATTTAAACCAAATAATAAAAATGAAACATTTTTATTTTTTTTTCTTGAAAAAAAAAAATATATAAATTTTATAAAAAAAAATATTTTTCAAACCAAATAAAACGACCAAGTTTTAGTTTACCACAAAGTTGTATCGGAAATATGAATAAACCATCAGTTAGAAGTGAAATTAAAGATCATATTTTTTATAAAAAAACTTTAGGTATCAACAAAATTATTATTTAAATCATGCTAAAAGATCATCTGATTTTAATGAAACCAACGCTCCATAGTTTTGTAAATTTACAAAATTTACAAAAAATGATTTATTACGAAAGAACTTTGTTATCCTCGATTATAAAAGTTAGATCCTAAGATAAATTTCTAATTTAAGTATTAAAATTAATTTTTTTTTTATTAATAGAGAATAAAAAAATAATGAAACTATTTTAATTAAATATTTCATAAAATTTATTTTCAAAATTATGAATTGACAATGAAATTCATTGTCTCTTTCTTATACAATTTGCTTGGGTAACTCTGGCCGCATTAACATTTTTGACATTTATCTAACTTCTACTGGGCAGTGGTGTCAATGATTAAACTAAAAAAAGTATATAAAAATCAACCCTTTAACTAATTAAAAGTAAAAATATTTTCATGCTCCCACCATGAAAACCAAAGTTACAATTCACAAGGTATCTAATATCATCCTTGTATTCATTGAAAACATTAAAGCATTACATAAATAACAGTGGTTACAGTTAACCTGTAGTTAGTCAAAATAAACAAAAAAAAAATACGCATAAATAAAAGGTTCCTGTAATTTGCCATGACAATTTCTCTTTTCATCTGCAAGATAGTAAAGGGGTATACAAATTAGAAAATAAAAAAAAGGGAAAAATTTAAATTTATTTTTTTAATTTTTTTTTTTATGCTCCAATTTCCAACACTTTTTTTATTTATTATCATTATTAATTATTTTTGGGCTGTGTTATTATGAAAATACTGAGATAATAATATGAATAAAAATAATAACAACATTACATTTAGGATGTATGTAGTAGTTAATCAAAATTAATTAATTAAATTATATAAAAAAAAATAATTTTAAATAAAAAATATTTGCATTTATTTATTAAAATTACAGTTTGTTTATGTAGTTCTAAAGTTTTTACCCATGGTCGATAAAAAATTCGCAAAAATTACATTTTTTATACTCTCTTTTTTCTACAGTTTGCTTGAGTATTTCTAGAGTTTGTTTTTATGGTCGATAAAATATTCACAGTTATCACATTTTCATGGTCCTTTTCTTATACAATTTGCTTGAGTATTTCTAAAGTTTTTGACATGATCGAAAAAATATATTCACAATTATCACATTTTAATGGTCCTTTTCTTCATTCACCAGTAGAATCTTCTTTACATCTCTTACTATAAAATTTGATGGTATATTTAAAATTAGTTTTTATTATTCAAAAAAATAAAAAATTATAATTAAATTTACTTACCAAATTCTACTGTATCTAAAGGTGGTCAGGGTCTTCCTTTCTTACATTTAAATCACTCTTTTATATAAAATGGTTTGGTTTTGTTTATTTGTTGTTGCAGTTCATTGCAATGTAATTTGATATCATGGTTCTAAATATATTTGATCATAGTAATATGTTCATATCTAGATTTGTTTGCTTGTTTGTGCAATAGCACAGTAGATGAAGAACCTATAAGTTCATTCTTCTTTCAAGAAAACAATAGTAACAACAAAAATTTAGACCTAGTATCTATAAAAAAAAAATATTATGAAAAATATTTGGTTTAATACAAATAAAATATTTGGTTTAATACAATATTGATTGGAAAAAATTGAAAATAAAAAATAAATAAAAAAAAAAAAATTTTTACCAATTTATTAAAAAATTTTTTTTTTTTTTTTTAAAACCAAAAATTTTTTTTTTTTAACCCAAAATTTTATAATAATGTTTTAAAAAATATAAATCAAAAAAAAAAAAAAAAAATTTTAAAAAAAAATAGAGAATTTACACAAAAAATAAAACAAATAATAAAGATTTTTTTTTATTTTATTCTTTTAAATAGTCTTTTAAGTAAATGTAAAAATATTTCAGATTTTTGTGGAGAAATTTCAGATAATTTTTTAATTTTATCAGAAATAAAGTTAAATTTATCAATTTCATGTATTTGATAATGATGAGGTAAATTTATTTCATTATAAATAGACTTTACAATTGAAACATCCAAACTGTTATTCAAACCATAATGCTTTTTTAATTTGTTTAATTGATCATCATTCGATAGTGTAATTGCTTTGCAAATTAACCAACAACATTTATTCTCTTGAATATCAGTTCCAACTTTACCCAAAACCTCTTTTTCAGCATAGCAATCTAAATAATCATCTTGTGTTTGACCATAAATACCCAACTCATAAGAAATATCTCTTATTAATTCCTCTTCGATTGTTTTTTCTTGTTCATCATCAACTATAATTTTTCCTCCTGATAATAAAATTGCTAATTTAATTTGTGAGTAAAACATTGAATATGATGATTTATATATACAAATTTTTGAATAGCTTTATTTTTTTTATAAATTTGAAAAAAATGATTAGTTATATTTCTTTTTTCTTTAATTAAAATAAATAAATACTTTTCAAAATTAAAATTTGAAAAATCACCTCTTTTTTGATGAAGGGATGAAGTATCTAATAGTTGGCCGGTTGCAGTATAAAAAATACATTCACGGAATAATTCTAAAACATCAACATAATATGATTTATGTTTAAAATATTTTTTTAATAGAAAAAATAAAAATGATTCAATTAATACAGAATCATTTATAGCCAACAAACCAACTTTATATTCTGATGGATTAAATGGGCTTGGGTTACGATACCAACATGGCTCACCTCTTCTTGTTAAACCATTATCCATAATATCATCAGTAACAAGGAAAAATGATAAAAATTCTAAACACCACCCAATAACTCTTGCTTCATGTTTTGATGTTGATATTGTTATTTCTTTATCATTATAATTGTTATTTTTATTTTTTGATATTAAGGTATTAAAAGAATAAATAAACCCAAGACCTCTTATCATCTTACCACCTATAATAATTGGTGAATTTAAAAATGTTGTTATATAATCTACAATATGATTTGGTAATTTCATTTTTGGAAATTCATTTATAATATCTTGTTTAATAATTGGAAATAATTTAATAAATTCATCTCTTTCTTCTTCAAAATTAAAGTTATTGTTCATTTATTGTTAAATATTTTTAAATCGTACAAAAAAAATATTTTAAAAAAATAAAATTTAAAAATAAAATTAAAAAAAAAAATTAAAAAAAATTATTATAAAAATGAATTTTTTTTTTATCATCAAAAATATTTTATGAAATTCACAATGTTAATTTTTATATCGATTTAAAAATAATAATTATATTGGTTTTTTGATGTATTTAAAACCCACCCATCTAGAATTCAGTTAAAAATTTTTTTTTTTTTTTTTTTTTTTGAGATATACCAAGATTTTGAAATTTTTTTTATTATTTAATTTTTTTTAATATTGTTTTTTTAGGGAGGTATTTTTATAAAAAAAACAAACATAATAATAAAAAAAAAACAAACATAATAATAAAAAAAAAAACCAATATAATAATAAATATAATAATAAATAAATAATAAATATAAAATTTCTTTCTATTAATAAACAATGTCAAATACTTTTTCTATATTAGTTATTGGAGAAACTGGATGTGGTAAATCAACACTAATCAATACCATAACAAATTATTTTTTAGGTGGAAAAATTCCAGATGATATTAAAGTTGCAATCAAAACCAAATTTTTAAAAGCAACAGAAAAATTCAAATCAAGTGAAAACGATTCCCAAGATAGAACAAAGAGTCAAACTGATAGTTGCAACACCTATTCTTTTAAAAAAGATTCAAAAACTTTTGCTTTCATTGATACACCAGGTTTATCTGATACCCGTGGTGTAAAACAAGATGACTTAAACATTGGTAAAATTATTGACTCTGCTGAAAATTGTTCAAGTCTTTCAGCAGTTATAATTGTAATCAATGGTACGGTTCCAAGAATGACTATTAACCTTCAAAATGTTATTACAAGACTTCGTGGATCTATTCCTGATTCATTATTAAAAAATGTGTTCCTTGTATTTACCAATTGTTTAAGTCATACTAGAAACTTTGTTTTAGAATCTTTAGAAATTGAAGTTAATACTGATAATATTTTCCATATGAACAATACTGCATTCAGTACTGATAGAAAACTTTGGGACGAAATTTCAATTAAGTCTTTAAAAACAGAATTCGAACTTTCATTTATGACCATTGAAAGGCTATTGGATTCTGTTTCCAAAGTATCATCAGTCTCCACTAAGGATTTTGGGGAAATGAAAAAACATAGAATGAATATAAAATCTACTCTACATAAAGCAAAAGTAGATATTGGTAATCTTCAAAAACTTCAGGATTCACTAGCATCATATCAAGCTCAATTGGAAAAAGCAAATAAAGATGTTGAATCATTTAAAAACTTTACAAAAAAAACAAAAGTTGCAAGTAATGAATTAAAAGATGCTCCTTATCATAGCACAATCTGTAGTACATGTAATCATGTTTGTCATGATCGTTGTAAGTAACTATATATTTTAAATTTTAAGTATTTTTTCTTTAATAATATTAATATAAAAAATTTAAGGTGGTTTACATGAAATTACTTCAAAGGGTGACAATGCTTTTATTAATTGTACAGCAATGGCTGGTCGTAATAATTGTAGAATTTGCCCAAGTGAATGTTCATATACTGTTCATTATCATGATAAAAAAACAATGGTTAAAGTTGAAAAAACTGTAGAAGAAGAACTAAAAGATTTGAAGGAGAAATTTATGAAAAGCTCACAATTATCTACCGAATTCTCTGGCAAGATTAATAGCCTTTCAGATGCAAAGAATTTAACAAATGTTACTTTAAAAAAAATGACCACTGAAATTGTTTCCTCGTGTAAAGAATTGAAAAAACTATGCTCAGGTTTTAATTTAGTTGATGAACTTCAAATAACATTATCACAAATGGAAATGGAGGCAAAAAATTCAACATCATTCGATGCTAGAAAATCAGCTGATGAAATGATTAGAGTAATAAGAGACATATGCGATACCTTGAGCAAAGAATCAGAATTAAAATCAAAAAAGAAAATAATTTCAATTGATGAATCAAAAATTAAAAAAGATCACATTAAAAAAAATAATTTTGTAGATGATAATGAAAAAGAAAAAAGTTCAAAAATTCAATGTGACTGCTTTACTTGTAATGAAACTATTGAAGTTGAAAAGAAACTATACAACTCTATTCTTGAAAAAAAAGGAACATTTGAATGTCAAAAATGTTTAAAATCAAATAATAATAGTATAAATAATAACAATAACAAAAATACAAAAACTAATTCAAACAAAGAATCAAACAATGAAACTACAATTGAGAAAATAAAAAAACTCAATTGTACATCTTGTAAAAATGAGTTTTTAATACCAAAAGAAAAGCTCAAGCAACTAATTAATCAAGGTGAACCAATATTGTGTGATATCTGCAAATCTAAGAAATCTAACATTCCAAAACAAAATGACCCAAATAATGATATTAAACAAAAGAAACTCAATTGTAATTCTTGTAAAAAAGATTTTTATTTAGATGATGAAAAATTTAAAGAATTAAGAATCAAATATGGTAATAATATTCAATGTAAAAAATGTTTCATCCCCAATTCCCAAAAACCTTCTTCAGCAGATCCAAACAAAATAGATGAAGAAAAAAACAAACAAAAAAAAAAATTATCACCCCAAAATGATCAAAAAGATAAAAAAATTCAAAAAGATAAGAAGGACCAAAAAGATAGTAACTCCCAAGAGAAAAAAGATGAAAAAAATAATAATCAAATTAAAAAACTTGACTGCCCAACTTGTAATAAGGAGTATTATCTTCCATTAGATAAATACAATGATTTAATAAAATATGTAAACCCATTAGTGTGCCATAAATGTCATAAAAAAAATAAAAAATAGTTCAATAAAAAATAGTTCAATAAAAAATAGTTCAATAAAAAATATATAATATTTATTTAACTTAATCTCCTTCTTTTGAAAAATAACCAAAATTATAATTCCTAGTTAAAATATTTTATTTCTTTTTATTTGTGGATATCTTTTTAAATAAAAAAATAAAAAAATCTTTAAAATTCAATGTTTATTTAATTTTAAAATAATCTTTATGGTTTCGATTTTTTATTAATATTAGGTTGAAAGCTACTACCATTTAAATTATTATTTGGATTTAATCTTTTTAATTGATTGGCTTTGTTTGCAAGGGACCAAATATTTTCTTTTTTAAAACTATTATTATTATTATTATTATTATTATTATTATTATTATTTATGTTGTTATTATTATAATTATAAATATTATTATTATTATTATTATTAATATTATTACTATTATTATTTAGTTTTGGAATTTCAAAAAAGTTTGTAGAATAAGATTGAGATTTATTTGATTTAATATCTTCTAATTGTTTTGTCATTTTTTTTAAAATTTCATCTTTTTGTTCAATAAATTGTTGTTCGGAATCTAATGATTTAACTGCCCACATTGATTGAGCAAAGTCAGCATCGTAGTCTATATTTGATTGAGAGTATTCTAAAGTTGATTTTAATTCTTCATCGGTTAAATAATCCAATCTAATTTTAAGTTGATCCGAGGCTTTTAAAGATTTGATTTGTTGTTGCTTTTTTTCATTTCTTAAAGAGTCCAAATTTGTTTTAATTGATTTTACAATATTATATTTAATTGATAGTTGGTCATCAATATTACTTTGTTCAAATGATTTGTTTTTTAATTTCCCATATATATCTAAATACTCATCGATCAAACTTTCAATATTTTGATAGAGTGGATGTGATTTGAGAGTACCCTGTTGTTCGTGATAGAGAATTGCTTTACAAAATGGAGTAATTTGACCACCTCTTTTTTCATTTTCCAATGCACTTGAAATACTTCTTGAAGCCATATTTAATGATGAGATTAAGGTTTGTTTATCTTGTAAATCTCTAAGACTAGTTGAATATTTATATAGATTGAAAATATATTTTATATCTTTCTCGCTATTTGCAAAGTCAATGATGGTAGTTGATTCTTTATCTTTAGAAATACGCGATAAACGAGAAAGAGTTTGAACTACGTTGGCACCTTTAAGTTTTTTATCGATATACATGATCGAAAGTGAAGGTTCATCAAAACCGGTTTGTAATTTATCAGCCACAATTAAAAGTCTAATCTTAAAGTTTTTATCTTCATTTATTGCTTTAATAACGCCTCTATTCTTATCACTACCAAACTGAGCATATTTTCCATTAATATTTACATCGGACTCGACCATACTTTTACCTTCGGAGACAAATGGTGAAAAAGCAGCAATGGTATCGAATTGTTCAGAGGCTGGTAATTGTGAAATTAGTTGATCTATATATTTTTTAAATACCAATAAACTCTTTCTACCAGAACAAACTAACATTGCTCTTGATTTAAATGATTCTTTATCATGACTATTCTTTGTTTCTAATAAATGCTTAATTATAAATTGCGACTTTTGTTTAATTTGAATTTGATCTTGTATTGAATCATCTTCGTAATCATATTCATCCAAAACCAATGGATTAAATGTAGTTGAATATTGATTATAATCTTCATCGCAGTATGGATCCATATTAAATTGTTGTTGTTGTAATTGTTGTTGAATTTGATAATAATTAAAATTATTTATTAAATTTTGATCTACCTTTAATGTTGAAAAATTTTTAACAACATCTAAAATCTTTAAAAAAATAAATAAAAAAATTAGAATAAAAGTTAATATTTTAAAAAGATAAAAAAATACACTTACCAAATTATCTTTTAATGCATCGTTCATTGAATATGTATAAAATGGAACCTTATCACCCTTTGACGAAATACCAAACATTTCTAAGCATTGAGGAGTTGGAGTACAGGTAAAACTAAAATAAGTAATTTTATTTGATTGTCTAGAGTTACCACAAAGAAATTCATGTAATTTTTCAGTAGTTGATTTGCCATGGGATCTATGAGCTTCATCGGAAATAATTGCAACAGAATTTGACTTAAAAGAAAATTCATCATCTTGATCACTTTCACCACCAGCCTTGGTACTTGGTAACAACTGTGAAAACTTTTGCATAGTTGTAATAACAATTCTATTTTTACCAAGTGATATTTCATTTTGCAATTGTTTTGATGACTTTGGTCTACAATAATTGGTAATTCCATTATTTTGAAGGAACTTGATGACAACATCCCCTAACTGAGCATCCAATTGACTTCTATCATTCATAATAACGATGGTATCAAATTTGTATCTATTATTAACTTCTAATTTATATAAAAAATAAACTAAACATGCTATTGTTAAAGATTTACCTGAGCCAGCTGCGTGTTGAATTAAATAATTATATCTATTTTCATTCTTGAATGATTTTATATGTTGTGGTTCAACCAAATCATTTAAAATTGATACAATAGTTTGCCATTGATGTGTTCTTGGTGTATATTCTTTAAAAGATTCTTTAACTCTATTTTCTAAAAATTCATTTAATTCTTTTTTTGATTTATCATTATTTCTTTTATAAAAATACTCTTCAATTTTATTTTCATCTGTTAATGTTGAATTAATTTTATTTATTTTTAAATTTTTATTATTTGAATTATTTATAATATTATCATTATTATTATTATTATTATTATTATTATTATTATTATTATTATTATTATTATTATTATTATTATTATTTTCTACATTATTGTTTTTATTATTGTTTATGATAGTTGTTGTTGTTGTTGTTGTTGTGGTTTTGTTAATTTGTTTTAAACTATAATCTTCAATTATTTCTTTTTTATTATTTTTTAATATTTCTTTTTCTGCGTTATCAATTACATTATTATTTTGATAAATTTTATCCTTTTCTTTTTCTTCATTTTTTTCTGTTTCCACTTTATTATTATTATTATTATTATTATTATTAAGTGTTGAAATGGTTTCTTTTTTTTTAGAGGATAAAACTATTGGTAAACTAGAAACTGCTCCTTGTTGAAAAGGGATATATTCTTCATTTTCTTCACTTTCATAATACATCTTTTTTTATTATCGAAAATAAAAAATAAATAAAAAAATATGAAACTTTTTTTATTTTTTTTATTTTTTTTAATTTTTTTTTATTTTTTTAATTTTTTTATTTTATTTTATTTTTCTTTTTTTTTTTTTAATTATTTTTACTTATAATTTTTAATAGATGTAACAATACTGTAATTATTCAATTATTTATAATTTTAAATAATAAAATAAAAAAATAAAAATAAGAAAAAAAAAATAATAAAAATAAAATTTTTTTTTGTTTTTCTCAGATAAAAACGAAAACCCCACACCCTATATTTTTGTAATATATGTTAATACTAATATATATTTTTTAAAGAATGTCATCTGACGAAGAAATTGATATTTTAGGTATAGATGAGGATGAAGTTGCTTGTTTAGAAAAAGAAATTAATTTAAAAAATGAAACAATTGTTCATTTTGTTAACAAAGAAAATGGAAATATAATAAATAATTTAGATAATAATAAAAATATAATTAATATTTCAAATCCAAATATAAATAATTTATCAAGTTCTAAACATAAAATAAATAGTAATAGTAATAATAATAGTAATAATAATAGTAATAGTAATAATAATAATAATAATAATAATAATAATAATAATAATAATAATAATAATAATAATAATAGTGAGAATAGTAGTGATAGTTATAGTGATAATAGTAGCAGTAGTAGTGAAAGTGATAATGAAAGTTCAAATAATAATAGCGATAATGAAATTTCAAACAATAAAATAAAACAAGCATCCAATGAAAAACCAGTAAAAAATAGAACAGTATGGAGCAAAGAAGAAGAAAAACTTTTCATTGAAGGATATAAGTTATATGACAGAGATAATAAAAAAATTCAAGAATTAGTTAAAACCAAAACATTAGTTCAAATAAGATCACATGCCCAAAAATTTTCATTAAAATTAAAAAAGCGCAATATTAGTGATATTAATAAAATTGATGACTCTAAACTGTTATCTGCAAATTATTCTCAATCCCCTTTGTCATCAAGTTCTCTTCCATCACATAATACACAATGGAGTAAAGAAGAGCATGACTTATTTATTAAAGGAGTTGTAAGTAAATTTAAAATATATTATAATATTAATTATGAAAATATTAATATTATTTTTTTTTTAAAAAAAAAGGAAAACTTTGGGAATGGGAAATGGAAATTAATTTCCGAATTCATCAAATCTAGGAATAAGCTTCAGGTTAAAAATCATGCAAGAATATATTATAAAAAACTAGAACAAAATGAAAACTTTGAATTATTAAATCATTATAAAAATTGCACAGGAAAAAAAAATAAAATTGATAGTAATAATAATTTAAAAAATAAACATATCAATAACAATAACAATAACCATAGAAGTAGCAGTAATAGTAGCAATAATAGCAACAATAACAGTGACAATATCATTAGCAATGAAAATAATAATAATAATAATAATAATAATAATAATAATAATAATAATAATAAAAATATAAATAATAATAATAATATCAATAATATTAACAATATAAATAAAGAAAGAAATTTAGACTTATCAGTTATTATTGAAGAGGAAAAGATTGCATGCAGTGAATATTTTTCCGGATTACCATCGAAAACACCAGAGAGATATATTACAATTAGAAATAAAATTATTAATCATTGGAAATTAAATAAACCAAACTATGTTTCAAAAACCAGTGCAAGAAATCAAATTAAAGACTGCGGTGATGTAAATGGTATTGGTAGAGTTCACGAATTTTTAGAATCTATAGGTGTTATAAATTTTGGTTCAGTTGGTAAAAAGATAAATTACCTGAATAATGATAGTAATAATACCTATAATAATAAAAATATAAATAATAATATTTTAAAAAAAATACAAAATGAAAATGAAATAATATATCAAGATCAACAGGATAAAGAATTTAACTATGATATAAATAATTATTTTTTAGTTGATCCATTCACTTTAATATCATGCAAAAAATATGAAAATAGAAATAACCAACCATTTACAATTGATATAAGTTCAAATTCAACAATAATAATGGATATCCATTCACATTTAGCAACTACTGAAGTTATAGGAATGCTTGGCGGTAAATATAATGCAGAGAAAAAACATATTACAATTCTTTTGGCCATACCATGCAACTCAATTTCATCACACATTCAGTGCGATATGGATCCAAATTCACAAATAGAGGCTAAGGAATTTGTAAACAGTATTGGACTAGAAATAGTAGGATGGTACCACTCACACCCAACATTTGATCCAATTCCATCATTGAGAGATATAGAAACTCAGACAACATATCAAAAAATGTTTGCTCAAGGTGATAATATTGAACCATTTGTTGGAATCATTGTAAATCCATATCATAAAAATGGATTCATTTCAAACTTCAAATGTATAACCGTAACAAAGCAATTAGATCCAATCAATCAATATAATATACCTTTTGAATTAACAACTACCCAAACAACATGCTTAAATAACCAATTTTTATATCAACAAATTGAAAGCCTATTTTTTAAATTTAAAAATTATAAAAAGTATGTTGTGTGGTAATATAAAAATTTCATTTAATTCTAAATTTATTATTATTTATTAATTCTTTAAATTTCACAACTATAGCCGTATAGATTTAAAAAAGAAAATTGAAAATAATTATCAATCATCCCAATTTACATTTTTAGAAAAAATGCTTATTTCAATTTCATCAAATTTAATATTAAACGAAAACAACAATCACACAAATCTAACAAAAGAGATAATATTAGATTTTTTAACTTTTAACAATAATAAAATTAAAAATAATGATATAGAAAAAGAAGATAACAATCAATCTAATCAAATAAAAAATGAATTTCTATCAAAAATTAAAAATTTATTTAGAGATTTTACAAATGATGATAATAATATTAAAATTAGATGTAATAGTAGAAGTAGAACTAGAAGTCCAACCAATAAAAAAAGTAGAAGTAGAAGTAGAAGTAAAAGTAGAGGTAGAAGCAGAAGCAAGAGTAGAAGTAGAAGTAGAAGTTTAAGTGAAGATAGATATAATTATAGAACAAATAGAAAAAGAAGCAGAAGCAGAAGCAGAAGCAGAAGCAGGGGTAGTAGCAGTAGTGTCGAAAGAAGAAATAGAAGTCTAAGTAGAAGTCTAAGTAGAAGCTTAAGTAGAAAAAGAAATCAATATAAAGATAATGGTTTTAAAAAAAATAAAAGTAGGAGTAAAAGTCCAATCAATAATAGTAACAGTAATAATAACAATCTTTTAAATAATAAATCAATAGAAAAAAATATAGTTTATAATGATCCAGAATTAAGTGAATCTTATATGAGCGATGTTAGTAGATCATCATCAGATTATTATAATACCGAATCAAGTAGTAGTATGAGTGATATCGAAGATGATAATATCAGCGAATACAGCCAAAGTGACTCAGAGACTCATAATAATAATAACAATAAAAAAAGAAATTATAATTTTAATATTAATAACAATAATAATAATAATAATAATAATAATAATAATAATAATAATAATAATAATAATAATAATAATAATAATAATATAAATCATAATAAAATTAATAATTATAATAGTTATAAAAATAATTTAAAATATTTTAATAGCAATAATAATAATTTTAATAAAAAAAAATAAAATATTATAATTTATTTTTTAAATTTAAAACATTAAAATAAATATTAAATAAAGCTAAAAGACTTGGACAAGCTTGTTTAATGGAAGTTGTGTCTAAAGTTTGATTAAAGATTAAATTATTTTCTAAAAGTTGTTCATAAATTTCGACGGATCTATCTTGATTATCTTGAATTTTTAAAATTTCTAATAAATCTAATTCTTTTTCATCATAGAAATGATATCTTCCACCCAATCTTTGTTCCACCAATTCTATTGGTGTTTTACAATAAATGTAGACACTATTAATTTCATTATTAATTTGGTTTTCTTTTTCTTTTAAAATTTGATCTTTTATTAATGAAAATAATTCTTTATTATTAATATTATTATATACTATTGAACTTATTGGTGATCTATGAACAAAAACTAAATTATTTTTAATTGATTCTAAATTGCTGTTATTTAATTGATTGATTGACAATTTTAAATTGCTATCAAAATGATTGGAAAAATTTGTATCTTTTAAATTTGATGAATCCTTAAAGAATGTATTTGAAATAGTCTTATAACCTGTATTCGATAATCTTTCTAACAATTGTTGTTTACCACTTCCGCTAATACCTTCTAAAAAAACAAATAATGGTTTTTTTTCTTGTTTAGACTTTTCTAAAATTAAAGATAAATCTTTATTTGGTTTCCACCATTCTCTTTCAACTGACAATTGTTCTCTTTTTGAATTGTTTGAATAAAATCTGATAATATTATGTATTTGATTTTTATTAAATTTAGTATAAGTTTTTAAATTCATCCTTTTTTATATCACCCACCAACACACAAACATCAAAATTATTACAAGTTTTTGTAAAAAAAATTAAATAAAAATTAAAAAAAAAAAATGACGGTAAATTTTTTTTTTTTTTTTATCAAATTTTTTAAACTAAATACATCATATACACACACAAACAAATATAATTATATTTTAATTCAAAGTAAGATCATTATAAATAAATTAATGGGTTGTTTTTTTTTTTTTAAAATTTTAAACTATATAAATAAAATAATAAAAATAATAAAAATAAAAATAATAGTAATAATAATAATAATATTGTATTTTTTTTTTAAATCTCCTAATAGATATTTTGGGAATATTACTATTTTTTTATAAAAAAAATTGATAAATACATAAAAAAATAATTAATAAAATTAATTTTATCATCTATTAATATAAAAAATAATATTATTATTTAAAAATAATTGTCTTTTTAAAGAATTTATAAATTAAAGACAAATATAGAAATTAAAATAAAGTAAAACAAATATTTCTTTTAATCAAAAAAAAAAAAAAAAAAAAAAAAAAAATAGTTTTATTGTTAAATTATAATCCCTTTTAAAATATTATTTTTTATTTATTTTTTAATCATTTTAATAATATAATAATTTTTATTTGTTTATTTCTTATTTTAAAATTATATTATAAAAATAATTATAATCAATATATTTAAATCAAAATTTTTTTTTTTTTTTTTTTTTATATTATTTATTTTATATAAATGAAAATAAAATTTTTATTAACTTTTTTTATTTTAAATTTATTTATTAATTTTATTTATTGTAAATTTAATTTAGATTCAAAAAGAAATGTTGTTGGTTATTATTCAAATTCATTAAAAATTAAAGGGTCAAAATATCATACATTAGGAGAATTTTGTCAAACTGGTTATTATGATTCAATAATTGTGGGATCATTATTTTGGAATCAAAATTTAACAGAATTTCATTTTGACTGTGAAGATTTTGAATCTATTAATCAAGATAAAATTATTCAAAACTCATCAGAAGATCCAGATAGTGAAAAAACAAGTGAGTTTAAAAAATATGACTTTTCAAAGATCCCAAAAGTTTCAAAAGAAAATAACACTCCAACCAAAGCTTCTGCAAAGATCAATATCGAAAAGAATACAATTTTAACAAATAAATGTGTAGATCTAAGAAATGATATTGAAATATGTCAAAATTTAGGTGTCAAGATATTGGTTTCAATTGGTGGTAGACATGGTACTATTTCAAACACAACAATTCCTTCTGCAGAGTTTGCTCAAAAACTAGCCGTTAAAATTTGGGATATGTTTTTATTTGGTGATAATGGAAGAAAAATCTACAAGGAACAACAATTATTAATTTTAAAAAAGGAAGAGGAAAAAATAAAAAGGCAACTAGAAGCTGAAGAAAAAGGTGACTTCTCAAGCTCTTCAAGTGATTCAAATATTGATATTGATGACTTTGACTACTTTGAAGATGAAAGTCTAAGCAAAGATGAAAGTGACTCAAGTAATAGCGAAGATGACTATCTTATCGACGAAGATGAATTCTCAGACTCTTATTATGACGAATACTCTGACGATGATGGAACTATACCACCTGTTTATGACGATGAGGACCAAAGCTATGTCGATGAAGAAGCCTACAGTGACAGTGACTACTATGCATCGGATCAATATGACTCATCTGGTAACAAGCTAACTAGAAAGCCAAGAGTTTTTTCTTCTAAAAAGAAAACAATTAAAAAGAAAGCCCCAGTTTTTACTCCACGTCCATTCGGTTATGATATATTTTTAAATGGGGTTGACCTTTCACCATTGGTGGGTAGATCCGATAATTATCTCCATTTGGCGCTTGCTTTGGATAGCTATAGAATTCCTAGAAGAGATATCTTTTTGATTTCTGCAACTTTAGATTGTTCAGTATTGCACAGCAAAAAAGAAAATGTTAAAGTTGAAAATTCAATTTTAAAATTCAACTTTGACTTTTTAAACTTGGACTTTGTTCATAATAAGCAATGTGATTATTGGTCCAAAATCAGCGATCAAACAATTATTGATTGGTCAACATACACTGTTAAGAACAAATACAACCAAACTAAAATTATTTTGCAAGTATCCTCAAATACAAAGGATTCAGCTTATTTTTCACCAAAATTCTTTTTAATGGAATATACTCAATACTGTTATGATTTACCAAATATGGCCGGTGCCTTTATTACCGATGTACTATCTGCTTCTAAAATTATAAATTCAACAACCAAAATAGACTTTACAAATGAATTAACAACAGATTTAAGAAACTTTGAACCATCCACAAGAAGATTTATTGGTACACGTCCTCCTTCTACATATGCAAACTCCACAGTAACACGTCCATTAAAAACTAAAGAACCAGTTTTAAAAGTACCAGTAACACACTCACCAATAAAATTAAATTCAACTAAAACTACAACCAATAAAAATATTACAACAACAAAATCAACAACTAAAAAACCAATTGATATTGATAATGTTATAATTTCTGATAGTAGTACTACAAGTGGTATCAATCCTATAATACTAGATAGTGACGATTCAAATGTTATTGTTTTTGATGATAGCGACAGTAGTAGTGGTAAACCTGCAACAACTAAAAAACCATCAACAACAATAAAAAAACCAATCATTACAAAATCAACTCATAAACCTATTAAATCCGACTCTAGCTTTGATACTAATACTATTATTCTTGATAGTGGGTCATCCAACTCTAAAAACAACAATAATAATGATGATGTTATAATTTTCGATGATAGTGGAAACTCAAAGGATACAAATAAACCAACTAATAAGCCAACTAGTAAACCAACTAATAAACCATTAACAACTAAAACACCAACTAAAAAACCAGCTAGTACCAAAGCTCCACCGCCAACAGCTACACCAAAACTGAGACCAACCCATAAACCAATAAGCTCAAACCCTATTGATGATGTTAATGTTTTGAGTGAACAAAAAGAAACAATAAAGCCAACTATCAAACCAACTAGTAAACCAACTAGTGCACCAACAAATAAACCACTACCTACCAAAGCACCAACTAAAAAACCAGCCAGTACCAAAGCTCCACCCCCAACAGCCACTCCAAAACTGAGACCAACTCATAAACCAATCAATTCGGATCCCTCAAATGAAATTAGTCTTCAACCAACTGAGATCTTAAATGAACAAACCAATGTACCAATTCCATCAGAAAAACCAACTACAAAACCAACAACCATTACATCTAAGGAACCAACAGAAACCCATAAACCAACTATCATTGAAGCCCAAATAACTAGTGCCAATAGCATTGAGACTACTAATCTCGTGGATCCAAACCTTATAAATGATCACTCTAATAAAAAAACAATCGATCCAATATTCATTGAAACTCAACAAAATAGCAATAATGAAAATATGGATTTAAGAGCAACACACCAAACAATATCAAATAATATACCAGATGAAACTAATCAACAAGACCAACAAGAGCAACAAGAACAACCTGATAAAGATATTAACATTCAACCAAAAGAAAATGATCCAATATTTATTGAACAACAAAATCAACAAGACCAAAATAAAGAACCATTAGCTGATGAAGCTGTTAGTAGAAGAGCAGGTAGACACAAACCAATTAGTGCAAAAGAATTTGATAAAAACTTTTTTAGTTAATAAAGAAATCAAATAAAATTTAGTTTTAATATTTATAATTTGAAATTTGTTTTTTTATAATCAAATAAAATATTGTTTATTTATATTAATTGTTAAACAATAGGCAGTTTTATAAATAAAAAAATTTTTACAATACAAAAAAAAAAACTAAATATATTTATTTATTTTTTTTCCTTTTTTTTTTATATATTACCTGTTAATAAATCATTTGTTGATGAAAAAATTAATTTATCACTATCATTTAATTCGATTGTTGTTGGATTTTTTGGATTTAATAACCTAGGTTGAACTTCACATGCATGATAAATGGATGCAATTGAAACCAATTCGGCTTGAAATCTATTGACAATAATTTTTGATCTTCTATCACCATTAACACCTGCATTAGCCCTTCCTTTTAATGAACCAAAAATATAAATATTACCATCTGCTATTGCCTCTGCACCTGAATGAACATTGCCCATAACTATTAAATCTGCTCCATTCTTGGCATATGCCTGTTGGCCACTTCTTAAAGAACTTGTTATAATCAATGGATTTGGTTTATTACTATTTAAACCACTATCATTATTTATATTTGAACTAATATTATTTGTCAATTGTGATTGTGATTGAGGGTGTAACATTTGAGTTGAATAATTATTTTTATTATTATTATTAATATTATTTTCATTATTTATTTTTTCTTTTTGATTTGTTAATATATTTTGATGACTTTCATTTGAAAAACCAAGTTTTGGGGATAATAATGGTAATTTAAAATTTTTTAATGAATCTTGAAAATCTTTTGATGAATTTTGTGATGAAATACCAATTGGTAATAAACCATTTGATTCACAAAGTTGAAATAATTGTTCTATTTGATTAATCTCTACTTTTTCATATTCTTGTTTTTTTTTTTATTAGTATAAGACAATTTGTGGATATTGTTTTTTTATATTGAAGAGAAATAAAAAAAAATAAAAAATTAATAATTTAATATTAAATAATGAAAAATTTATTAATTTGGTTGGTACCCGAAATATCTAAAACTATTGGTGCATTGTTATAAAATGATGGTGATAAAGAAATTTTATTTTTTAAATTTTGTAATATTTGATCATTTGTTTCGTTTTTATTTATTCTTTAAAATAAAATGAATTTAAATTAATATTGTTTAAAATTATAAAGAAAAAAAAAAAAAAAAAAAGTATTACTTTAAAGTTGTTATTAAATATGGTTTTGATTTTAAAATTGCTTCATTTGATTTTAAACCTGTAGAATAAAATTTCTTATTTATTGTGTTATTTAATATAAAACTTAATCTTTTAGTAATGATTGTTGCCATTATTCGTTTTATATAAATATATTAATGGATGATTAAAAAAAAAATTTTAAAAATAATTTGAAAAAAAAAAAAATTTTAATTTCAAAAAAATAAAAAAATTTTTTTATTTTTTTTTTTTTAAGATTATTTTTTTTTTTTTTTTAATTAAATATAAAAATGACAATTAAAGTTGTACCTTTGGGTGCGGGTCAAGATGTTGGTAGAAGTTGTGTAATTGTTACAATAGGTAATAAGAATATTATGTTTGATTGTGGTATGCATATGGGCTATTATGATGAAAGAAGGTTTCCAGATTTTTCATACATTTCAAAAAATAAACAATTTACAAAAATTATAGATTGTGTTATTATTACACATTTGTAAGTAAAAAAAAAAAAATTTACTTTTTATATTTATAATTAACCTCTTTTTTTTTTTTTTTAGTCATTTAGATCATTGTGGTGCATTACCTTATTTTACAGAAATGGTTGGATATGATGGACCAATTTATATGACACTACCAACTAAAGCAATTACACCAATTTTGTTAGAAGATTATAGAAAGATTACAGTAGATCGTAAAGGCGATACAAATTTTTTTACACCTCAAATGATTAAAGATTGTATGAAAAAAGTTATTCCAATTGATCTACATCAAACCATTAAGGTAGATGAAGAACTATCAATCAAAGCATACTATGCTGGTCATGTCCTAGGTGCTGCTATGTTTTATGCAAAAGTTGGGGATGAGAGTGTAGTTTATACAGGCGATTACAATATGACACCTGATAGACATTTAGGAAGTGCTTGGATTGATCAAGTTAAACCAGATGTATTAATTACTGAAACAACTTATGCTACTACAATCCGTGATTCTAAACGTGGTAGAGAAAGAGACTTTTTAAAGCGTGTTCATGAATGTGTCGAAAAAGGTGGTAAAGTTTTAATTCCGGTATTTGCGTTAGGTAGAGTTCAAGAACTATGTATTTTGATCGATTCATATTGGGAACAGATGAATCTCAGCCATGTTCCAATTTATTTTTCAGCTGGTTTAGCAGAGAAAGCAAATTTATACTACAAATTATTTATCAATTGGACCAATCAAAAAATTAAACAAACTTTTGTAAAAAGAAATATGTTTGATTTTAAGCATATCAAACCATTCCAATCCCACTTGGTCGATGCTCCAGGCGCAATGGTATTGTTTGCAACACCAGGTATGTTACATGCAGGTGCTTCTTTAGAGGTTTTCAAAAAATGGGCCCCAAATGAATTAAATATGACAATTATTCCTGGTTATTGTGTCGTTGGAACAGTCGGTAACAAACTATTAGCCAACAATGCAGGCTCACAAATGGTAGAAATCGATAAAAAAACAACATTAGAAGTAAAATGCAAAATCCATAATTTATCATTTAGTGCCCATGCTGATGCTAAAGGAATTTTACAATTAATTAAAATGTCAAATCCAAGAAATGTAATTTTAGTGCATGGTGAAAAAGAGAAAATGGGTTTCTTATCACAAAAAATTATTAAAGAAATGGGAGTAAACTGCTATTATCCAGCAAATGGTGTTACAATTACAATCGACACAATGAAATCTATTCCAATCGATATTTCTTTAGGTTTGTTAAAAAAAGAAATTTTAAACTATTCAAACTTTTTAAAAAACTCATCAATGAAAGATAACGACAGTACCCTCATCACAACAGATAAAATATTTTTAAATAAGAAATTAAAAATCAAAAACCCCGAAAACCTAAATGAAAATGAAAAGAATGAATACGAAAAAAGAATCATTCAAGCTGAAAAAGAAAGAAAACAAAAAGAAAAAGAATTATTAAATATCGATGATAGTTTAATTTTTAAAAAAGCTAGAACTCCAATTACAACTATTCCCATTCAAGGTTTAATGATTCAAAAAGAGCAACAACCACTTAAATTAATTGGTATGGATGAAGTTTCAAAAGAATTATTAATTAATGAAATAGAAATGAACTATAATTTTATTTTATCATATAATGAAAAATATAATAATAATAATAATAATATTATAAATCCAATATTTAAAGAAAAAGTTTTAAATTTCGATTTTATTTATTTAGAGTTACAAAGATTATTACCAATTGGAATTCAAATAGAAAAATTAGTTAATAAATTATTTAAACCAATATCTTTGGAAATTAAATCAATTTCAATTCAACATAAAGGAAACTTTGACTTATTAATCAAGTGGTCTCATAAAGATGATAATTTAGCAACCCATATAATATCAATTTTAAAAAATTTAAATTAAAATATAAATAAAATAAATTAATAAGTGTAATAATTTAGTATGTTTTTATATTGTTTTTTTGGTATGTTATTTTTTGTTATATTTATATTTGTATGACTTTTTTTTTGATTGATTTTTTATTTAAAATTTAATAAAAATAAATAACTTAACAGCAAAGATATTAAAAACATATTTAACATTAATTTAAATAAAGTATAAAAAAAAATTCATCAAATAATAATATGATGATTCCCAAAATTATCAAATTATAATTTTTTTTAATTATTTTTTTTTTAAATTTTATTATTTTTTTTAAAATATTAATTTTCCCTCTTAAAAAATATTTTCGTAGTTTTTTTTTTTTTAATTTTAGTTTTTTAAATATTGATAATAAAATATACATATATAAAATGTCAGAATCACCAACTTTATTCAGTGTCGATAAATCTTTGGAAGGTACCCATATTGCTATTAGTGGCCTTGTAAATATTATTTATAGTAAAAATAATAAAAAAAAAAATAAAAATATTAATATATATTAAAAAAATTTAGATTGGTGCTGGTAAAACTACATTATGTACTGCATTAGGAAAAGTTTTAAATCTACCAACCTATGTAAGTATTAAAAATAAATAAATTATGTTTAAAATCATTTATTAACATTAATTAAAATCTACAGTATGAACCAGTCATTGATAATTCATATTTAGCCGATTTTTATAAAGATCCAAAAAGCTTTAGTTTCCAACTTCAAATTTATTTATTAAATCAAAGATTCCAACAAGTAATTAAACTAATTTTAAATTCAATTTCATATAATTTTTAAATTATTAATTCTTTTGGTTTTTTTTTTTTTTTTTAATAATAGCAACAACAAATTATTTGGCAAGGTAGAGGAGGTGTTCAAGATAGAACCATTTATGAAGATTCAGTTTTTGCTAAAATGTTAATGGAAAGTGGTTTAATGGATAAAAGAGATTATAATACTTATTGCAAGTTATTCTCAAATCTTAGCAATTTTATGAGAAAACCAAATCTTATTATTCATTTAGATGTTTCACCAGAACAAAGTTTAGAAAGAATTAAACGTAGGGATAGAGAATGTGAAAAAAATATTACTTTAGAATATCTCCAAAATTTAAATCAAGCCTATCAAAATTTCCTTCATGATATTTCCAAATATATTGCTGTTATCAGAGTCAATTGGAGTGAATTCCAAGACCCAGAAGAGTTGGCCCAAACTATCAAAGAAGAATATGATAGTATGAGATTTATCCATGAAGTTAGTGTAAACTCTGTCAAACAATCAAATTAAGTTTTTTACAAAGTAATATTAAATATAAAAATCCTGGGTATGAAATGGGGGCAAAAAAAAAAATAAAAAAATAAAAAAATAAAAAATAAAAACCAATTACATTAATTATTTATTAAATTAAATAATTATATATTTTAATGTCCAATATAAAAGGAATAAAATAAAAATAGATTTTGTATGTTTTAAAATAAAATGTAATTTTTTATTTATTTTTTTTAATTATTTTAAAATAAAATAGTTTTATTTTAATTATTTATTTTAATTATTATTTTTTAATTTTCTTCTCTTTTATTTCTTTTTTTTTTTATTATAACTTATTTTTTTTATTTTTTCTTATTTATTTTTTTTTTTTTTTTTACTTCATTTTTTTTTTTTATTTATCATTACCATTTTTTTTATTTCTCTTTTTTATTATAACTTGTTTTTTTATTTTTTTTATTTTTTTTTTTTTATTTTAAAATTTAAATTAAAAAAAATTATTTTTTTTTAAATTTTTATTTTTTTTTTTATTTTATTTTTATACATATACTTAATAACGTCAAGTAATAATTAATATTTATATAAATAATAAACTATAATAGTTTATAAAATAATTTTTACTTAATAATAATTTGTTTTTGTTAAATTTTCGAAAAAAAAAAAAAAAAATGTTAAATAATGAATCTGAAACATATCAAACAAATACGCCCCAAAACAATAAAATAGAATATAACCAAGAAAACAATAACTACAATAAAGATCTTTTAATAAAAATGGATCTATCAACATCTTTATCAGATAAAAAAAAATTAAATGACAACAATAATGATTCTATAAATAATAATTTAGATAATAATTTAGATAATAATAGGGGT